GAGTTAATCGGAAGGGATGAAAAGAAAAGAAAAATAGATAGCGCGAAAAAAAAGCAAAAAGAGATAAAACGAGCGCGAAAAAAGTAGTGGGGATAAATAGGCGAGGATAGAGGCCAATGGTGATATAACGGGCGACTAACGAGGTTTATTAAGCTGAACGAAATTGCGGCCGCCTGAAAACGGGTTGCGGGGTTGCTCGGCGGCAACAGTTTAGAGGATCGTAAATTCGAGTGTTTCGAAATAATAAGGGTCAGCAATTACCCATTACACAGCAAGGTGCATTAACGGTGCCTCTATGAATGGTTGACGTTGATTAAAAAAAAGGAAAAGAAAAAAAAAAAGAAAAAGAAAACGATTACGATGATAATTTTGAAAATTTAAAATTGTAAAATTTAAGTTTCGAGGGAAAGAAAGACGTATCTTTCCTTAAATGTGAATCGTATCGTTAGACTCACGTAGTTTCATGCTTTTTGATTTTCGAAGTGTTTCTTTTCTTCGAAGTTTCTTATCGATTAAACAGTGAAATGAGTTGTGGAATAAAAGATAATTCTTATAAAAAAAAAAAGAAAAAGTCTCAGATTTACTTGAACGATCTACTTTTTTCACGATTCAGCTTGTGCCTTTGCACAAAACTTCGAGAGCTTTCTTTCAAATTTCAAGAAAAAAGAGGAACGAAGATTTAATTGAGAACGAACGATTAACTGGAACAAACGATCCTCGTCTTAATAAAATATGATATAGAAAAAATAAACGAGATTTAATTTCGCAAGAAGTTTGTTGCTGGTAGACATACAAATTCGTTTAAAAAACAAAGAAAAGTGATGCAAATATTGTGTTTGCATCAGTATCTTCTCGAGATACTAGAAAAAGATCAAATATCGTGGAACCTGATCGAACATTATCCTTTTTAAAGTCGTCGCATCAAATCGTTGCTCTCAAAATATTTTCTATCCTTTCTCTTCCCTTACCGTTCTCTTCTCTCCAAATATTTCCATTAACGAATAGAATTACGAATAGAAAATTACGAATAGAAAAGCGACATCCTTCGACAAAGCTCTCGGAATGGAATGGCTATTGCTTTAACCTAACGAAACTGAAACCTCGTATTTACGAAGAAAGGATTCTCTAATGGACAGGAATCTTGGAGGAATTCTAGAAAACTCAATCGCGCTAAAAACACTGCACAAGATGGACGTAAAGATATGGAATTTCGCGGAACGAGAGCCTTGTAAAAGAAAAATTCGAGATATGAAGACAGATACGACTAAAAATCGACTCGTTCGACACCCTTCTTTTGCGATCCTGGCCTTCTTCCATATAGATTGCATCTAACCACTCGAGGAATCTCTTTTTACGCGATAGATCGTCTTTGATCCCTTCATCTCTTCGATAACGAAAGAATGATTCGATCGCGAACGAGCCGACAAACGATTGCTCGGGGATTATTTTTCGAAAGGACGTAAAAGGATGAAATTAAGTATCGATATATCTCTTCCTCGGGAAATTTCTCACTATTTTTCCCCCCTCCCTCGTTCGTTTCGAAGGAATCGAAACGATGCGAAAATGGCGCGAGCGAAAAATCAAAAAATAAATATCGGATCGCGTGAATTTTTGGGACGGATATTCAAATTATTCCGTGCATTTCAAGCGTATTCGTTTATTGAAATGAAATATTTATGACGTTTAACAAATGAACAATGTCAACAAGCATTGTGCACGTCCATAACACGAATTAGTTGGTCTGATAGGTTTGGCAAGGAAGTTAACAATACATTTAGCTCGCGCTGCGTTTCGATATCTGTTTGCGATTCTAGAAGCCAATTTATCGTAAAATGATATTCGAATATCGAAATTTTCCATTTCGAAATTTTTCCATTTCTTTTCGCAACACTACAAAGTGTTACCTCGCAAGTCGAGTGAAAGTTAAAAATTGTCTTCCCCTCGTTTCTTCGCGAAGAAGAGAAACTCGGAGGGGTAGAGAGCAATCTCGACGATAATCGATAGAAATCCAACCGAGAATCCGATGATCATGACGAGGAACGCTGGGGCGAAGTGTTGCAAGTGAAGATTGATCTTGTACTCTTCCTCCTCCGCGAACTCGAACATCATAGCCAGCCTACCCTTCTGTATCGCCAACTTGATCATGTGGTCGAAAATACCCATATCCACGTAGTCGTGGATCTTGGCGTTTATGTATTTCAATTTTGGGAATCCCTTCCAAACGGCCAACGCCAGAGGGAAGCTGTATATCACGTCCGTGGACATGGTGTACGCGTGCAAAGTGTCGATGTCCTCGCTTCGAGAGGAGTTCAACAGGATCATAAGAGCGAACGAGGAATTCCTCCCTTCCATCACGTCCTTGTACAATCCCGCGTACTCGCTCTGATCGAACGTGACGAATTTTTCGTGTATCCTCGAGACGACGTCGCTCCTCTCGTCCAACGCGTCGTCGTCCTTGAACAAACCGACGAACGCAGCAGTCCCAGCGATCCCGAACGACGAGGAAAGAAGCTCCTCCGTGGTCGTGATCTTCGTGTCGGACGTATTGATCAATTGATCGGCCAAAGCGTCCACGTACACCTCCATGAGAAACAGGCCGAAAACGCTCCACGAGATGTATTGGATCTTCGTGGAGGGTTTGGTGGGCCGATTCGCGATCGAAGCTCCGATTATCAGAGCAAATATGTCGAGATAGCCGAGGTCGGGGATGAAAAAGATTTTCAAGAGCACGGCCAATATCAAGGTGCAGCCCAAGGCCGCCCACACGTACGGGTGAAACGGTTGAATCAATCCTTTCAGGGACACGTTGGCCACCTTAGGGATCAACCAGACCACTTTCAACATGTCGTACGAGCTCGAGTAATCTATGTCTTCCTGTGGTTGAAGGAGGACACGACCCACGACCAGGTCGGCACCCTCTTGATACAAGATCGTTCTTATCTGTTCCACGTAGGTGGCGTTCTCGGTCCACGTCACTTGTTCCCGCTCCAAGTTCTCGTCTCTCAACACCTCCTCGATCAGCATCCCCTCGAAACCCAGCAAACTTTCCGCCGTCTCGTTCGCCACTGTTACCACGTACGGAGGCTCGTCGAAGTAGGCTATCTTCAGGACACACTTGTTCCCTTCGAGCGGGTTAATGTTTAACCTCCCAGCGTCCCAGGATC